TCAGCACATATACCCCCACACCCTAAAACTCAACCCATCAAGAACTGGGGGAACCTATAAAAAGGCAAATCACAGAAACAGAACCCTGTGATGAAGAGTGAAATGTTGCTGCCCACATACATTCCTGTCACAGACAGCTGGCCTGGCAACCCCAAAGAGGCTCAATATACTGAGAGTTTCCATATTAGCCTACCTTTTTTCTCCTCCTCCTCTTTATCCTCTTCTGTTTTTGCACGCTTGGCTTTCTTATAGTTGGCAACATTTTTGCGACCACCTTCTCCTTCATCTTCAGAATCTGAGAATTCTTCATCACAGGCTATTCTCTTATCAGAATTGCGGACTAAGAACAAAGAGGCAGAAGCTACATCAAACAGGCTAGAGCTCAGAGACTGCAAAGCATTACACATATGTATGGATACAGGCACATGGGGAATGCTCTGCCATGCCAAGAAACTTAATAACAACATGACTACCAATGTAACAGCTTATGCCAATCATTTCCATCTGCCAGCATCAGGATGCGATAACCAACTGACAGGCTTTGGATGAGGTTTACAGCAGGATGACTAGACCTGCCAAAAGGATCAGGTTAACTAAACTTTTACAATGAGAAAACATGGACTACCAGGTACAAAGGACATTAGATTGTCAGGATATACAAGATGGTGATTTCATTCTTAATTGGCAACTTCTTGAATCAGAATGTGACATTCCAACTGCTTCTCTTCCAGAGATCCAAGGAAGGGTACCACGATAGCTCAAAGCTTGTCTATCCCAATCATGCAGCTGGTCCAATAAAAAATTATCCACCAAAATTCTAGACTCCAACTGCAGGTAGCTTGTCACAGCTGTTCACCATACGAGGCACTGGCATTGTCTGAACTCTAATATTAAAACTGAGATGCATTCATTGTGAAAATTATCTGGCAGCAGTACCTCTCCACCAATGCAGGGGATACCTCCTACCGCTGCATACTTGTTTTATGACAAATCAAACAAAAGGAGCACAATCAAATTACTCAAACAGAAGGATAAAAGGTCAAGGTAAGTCATGCATTTCTTTTATAAATATTATGGTTCAACCCAAAGACTGTACTTGTTATGACCTCTCTAATCTCTGTTCAACCTTCAAAAGAGAAGGCTGAGGGGGGATCTT